CACTTTAGATTACAACCCGCAAAGAACTATGTAAGTATACTGAATTTACGGTGTACGTTTCTGTAATTATAGTGTACCTATAAAGAACATACGTGTAGGTATAAGGGAACAATGTGTTACGTTTGGGTAATAAGGGGGTAACAACCAGATATGCAACCTGCAAAGAACTGCGCAAGTAAACTGAAGTTACAGTGTAACTTTTTTTGTAATTATAGTGTACCTATTCAGTACCTCCTTGTAGGTATAAGGGAATAATATGTAAAATTACAAATTATTTCTACTGTAACTATTTTGAAACTAAGGGGGTACCTATTCTTATATTACGTGGTATGTATGACCTAACAACAATCTTATATTTGCAAGCGATTTAGCAAAAACATACACTGCACTTTTTTATAACCTACACATATAAAACACGCTGGTAATTGTTTCAATCCAAACGCTCGGTTGAGACTGTAGGGTTAGGAAGCTGGCTTGATTTGACCCAATTTGGGTTGATATCAGTAATAAGTAACCCGACGGTGCTGGGTTATGAATGTGGAGGACGTGAATGAGAGCATGCAGCAAGTCACACGAGTTCAAACGTGAACGGTTCTGTGTGCGACGAAATCCGTGACTGCAGTGCTTAAGACGGGAACATAGGATAGAACTAATCAAAGTATGTATAAACAATCATTTCAGAGCAATTGTTGTAGCCACTTACCCTGTAACTACATGGAACAAGGGGGGAACAAGCACCACTTTAATTTACAGCCCACAAATGTTGTATTTACACTGTAACTACATGGAACAAGGGAGGAACAAGTTGGACTTAAACACAGAACAAGTTTATATTTGCACAGTAATTACAGAGAAAAATATTGCACTAGTTTTAATTTAATTGTCCGATTGCCAAATTAAACCCTCTACTTTTTTTTTGCTATAAAACACCACAGTATACATTCACTGAAATACAAATGTTGTATCATGTATTTTTTCTGCGAACAGCTGGAAAGAGGTAAGCTTGTTTTAAGCTGCATTGAACCTTGATGGTATATCATGCAAAGCTATTTGGTGATAGTGGTGTTGAGAAGTTGCTGGTGTGAACTTGCTGAGATCGACGAATAAGCTTTCATAAGGTAAGTAGACTCGTGAATTATAAATCATAGCAGAAACTCATTAACTCATTTCACTAGATGTCCAGTTTTGTTGTTCAGTAATCTCCATCATGTTTCCTTTAATAATAGAATGGTTAAAATACCTAGGCCTATAATAAAATACCAATATAAAATTATTTTTAAAAAAGTATATCGTCTTTCTAAATTATTCCCAAACATAAGATTGTTGTTTAGGCCATGCGTACCATGTAATATTATAATAGGTTTCAAAATACTTACAGTATAAATTATTTGAAATTTTGCAGGTTGTTACCCCTTTATTCCGCAAACATAGCATATTATTCCCTATACCTACACGTACATTATGTATAGGTACACTATAATTACAGAAAGGTACACCATAAATTCAGTATACTTACATAGTTCTTTGTGGGTTGAAATCTAAAGCGTTACCGTTTTTATTTATATATATTTGAGAGATCTCATAAAGATCTTCTCAAAAAAGAGCAATGTCTTCTTGAGTAGAAACACTGGGAACATCCCATCAGTTTTTTTTGTTTCAAAATATACTGCACATCTCTTAACATCATTCAACACCCACAGAACAAAGAACAAATTGCCTGGGGGATACCGTATTAGATACATGTGTCATATCATTGCTTTCATGGCAAACCAACAGAAGAGGTGCAACAGAAGAGGTGTCACATTTCCTGTTTGACATAAAAGTAAGCAGCAAATGAAAGGGGCCACATGAATCGATATGAATTAATATCAGATGTCACTCATAATTCATTGTAGGAAATTCCCTGGAAATCTGACCTGCTGTTTTCTTCATTTAAAAGGTATAACGATATGTCTACATCAGAAAAAAATACTGGAAGAAAGGTTGCTGAATATTTCTCATGCTGTTATCCGTGCTCTTCCAATTACCATACAGTATACAGTATCCACCATTTAATAGTTTTAAAAGGTGGCGATGCAGGATTTCTGTGTTTTGAGAACATTACTCATACTGGATAATTGCTCAGATCTATTCTGCATTTCTATAACTTAAAAAATTAATTAGTTCCAAATCCACAAGATGTTTGCTCATTTAGTCATGAGTCATTATGTAGTAAGCACTGAACCATTTATGTCTAGTTTTTCTACTGTACATTTATGACTTCTTATATTAATGACCTCTATTATAATTGGCTAATCTTCACATATCAAAATACTGTTGCTCACTGGGGTCAAGTTGCTGAATACTGAATAGGCTGATATATAAATGTGTGTGGTAATACATTAATGGTGTAATGGTAGTGACATATTATCTTTGACAATTTGCACTTTCCTGGCTTTAACAGCTTAGTATGGATTAATTTGGTCTGCTCCACTGGAGAGGAAGTTTTGTGAAATACCTCAACACATTTTTTAACTGCAAAAGAACAAGAAGAAATCATGTTTTCCATGATACGTCTGCTGTAAAGAGCATTAGAGTTCTACAACTTTTAAAGAAAACGACTGAATGATAACTGTACACAAAAATGTCTAAAACAATTCATACGAAGAGATGTCTTCATTCTGCTGGACCCTACACACAGTGACTAAGAATTAGACATGAGATTCTGTATGCTGACTTTGAGCGAAGCAGTCAGTATCTACGTAATATCAGCTAACCACTGGTGTACCTCAAGTCTCGGTGCTTGGCCCCCTCCTCTTCTCCAAATATTTACAAACCATGAGACCTACACACTTTCTTTTTTGGCATGATGGTACCATGAACAACCTTTAACATCCATGAAAGCTTTCTAATGTACAGAAAATGTTGACACACTAAAAGGTTATTTGGGGAACCTAAAGTGGTTCTTCTATGGCACTGCTGTGAAAGCCCCCTTATGGAACTTTTATACTGAAGTGTGATTGTCAGAATTTCCAACTACTGCTATGTTTTACCCTTTCATCTGATGTTCTCACAGTATCTGTGTGTATCTCAAATTGCCTGGATATCTCAGCCTGGAAGAAAGAACATCACAACCAACTCAAGACAGATTTTCTGTCCTACTAGCCTAGCAATTCAACACAACATAACTGTCAGCTATATTTTCAGCGGTAAGAGCATCCAACCAGGCAGAAAACAGCTGAAATTCACAGAGCACATCACAAATACCCAGCAATTGTTGTTTTGCTGTGTATTTTTCGGGGGAATTGTGCAACAGTAATAACTTCTCACTGTCTCTGTAGAACTAACAGCTTAAATTATTGCTTTCCTCCTCATTTGTATGTGGAGTTGGATAAAAACATTTAAATGTAAACACAAAATGTACCCATCCACACTGAGCCACGACTCACACTCACCTCCACACTGTCAGGAGAGATGGCTCCATCTGCAGGGATATCTGTCCCGTCCTCCTCCTCAAACGTCGCACGCTTGTAATTAGACATCTGAAAGGAACAGAGAGTAGTATTGTTAGCCTTAAAGGCCGATGTACACCAAACCTGAATGTGAACAACAGCAGACAGGGGAAAATAGTCCTGTTCACTGTTTTAAGTGACCTTCCAAAACAATCCGGCACTGGTAGAACATTTACTAAAGAAATGTTTTTGATTTATATGTCGCTTGTGAAAAAAAATATGTCACACAGCCACTTTAAAGTAGCTGTCAATTGAGAAAGATGCACCATGAAATCAAAATTGACCCTGTTTACTCTCTTTATATTTCTTTATATTAAGTTCCCACAGAATCAACAGAAAACCTTTTTAAAGGCCTTGAGGCGAGAGTCTGAGGACAAGAGATACTGCAAGAGAGTGTGAAATGTAGATGAATGTTGGGTGGGGGAGATTCCTTGTTTTCTCACCCCCATCTTGGATGTCAGAGAGGAATTAATTTACACATTTGCACACACACATACACGACTCTCACTGTTCACAACTGAAGAGGAGCCTAATCTTCACCCGAGGGCAGCACTTTGCTGTGTAAGTCTCACTGTTATAAGCATTACCCCACAGAGATCAGCCACTCTTAGTTAAATCTAACCTTATTTACGCTGTCTATTGAAATCTCCCTGACTGCGCTGACAGCCATGTAGACCGCAGACGCACTGGCCTAGAGCAAAACCTCCTACCCAGGTTACCTAACAAGAGCAGACTAAACAAGACAGAGAGAGAGAATCTCTCTCACACACAATGACTTAATGAATCTAAATTAGAGCAACCATAGACTTTCATATATTAATATATATATATTATAATATAAAAATTAAATAAGCACAAATAGTCCTGACTAACCCACTGTGCATTTCTAAAATAAAAAACATGTTTGCTTTATCAGTTGTTTGTCCAACTGAAAATGTCCCTGGAGGTTTTGTTTAACTTCTGAAGGCAAATTTGTCCAGAAAGTCTAGCTAACTAAACATACAACAGACATAAGACACAGAGATCTACCCAGAGGAGAACTGTGCAGCTCAGTGTTTGCTTTTTTAAATCTTTAGAGACTTGATGGAGTTCTCAATTATTTTATTTAAGAGTCAACTTTAAAAGAAACAATGTGAGACTAGTGTATTTTTCTCAGGAAGAAAATGTTTCCACTGGCTTTCTGTGCACCGCTTTCTGTCTCAAGAGATTCTATTTGTAACTTTCTGTTCCTGTGAGTATCTTTCCTTTTGAGTGACCAATGACAATGCAGATATCTAAAGAGCTGGATGACGAACTCATCCAAATGAAGCATACACAAACTTACATTAAATGAACACATTTTATTCAATATTTGATATAAAATGAAATTTTTATATAAGGATGAATAGAATCTACAAGAAAAAAAAAACAATTTCTTACTAATGCCAACAATTTTTGTTGGTTTTTAATACAAACACTTTACATACATTACTTTCATCTGCTAAAAGCCTTAGTCTTAAGACAGATGACTGGTTTAGAGCAAGACACAAGACAGCAACAGGAGCCCTTTGCAACATGTTTTAAAGTTCAGCCGGAACGCCACACTCAATCATCTCGGCTGTTTGTGTCTCAGTTGAATAAATGATTTAGAAGTAAGCTATTCCTCAATGGGCTTTTACAGGAAACCTTAAATGAGATTACAAAGACAAAAACTCTGACTCATAGTGATGTGAAACAAATGCACATGCTAGGCCCACACAAACATGCAGTTCAACAACTGCTAATCACTGCCTTGACATTTTCCCGTAGTTGACTCGTTTCCTCATAAGCAGTCAATTAACTGTTTGTCAGAGCTTCCCATAACACTTTGCAATGCAATGAGCGTGACTGAGAAGGGGGTGCTGTTTTAGGAGGTTTTATAGCCGCAAGAATTCCCTCCAGAGGTCTGGACAAGATTCACCAGATTCCTGGCTGGCAGGTCACAGACTCTTCTCAGAGGAAGGAAAAACAATGTAAGACAACTTGGTGTGAAAACCACCCATGCATTCTAGTACTGAAGTTCCTCTTTCAACTGACACATTCATGACATGCTATCATGTGAAATTCAGTATTCAGTTTATTTTGGGAATACTACCATACTACAATTACTGTACCATTTCTAGGGCCCTATGAAATTCTGATTCATTTATTTATTTTTCATTTTAATTCTTATGGATTCCTTTTATTATTACTTTATTATTATTATTATTAGGGCTGGGCAAAAAAATAGATTTTTCATTAAATGACGTCGATTCGATATCGATTCTCAAAAGCTGCGAATCGATCTTTTCCGGTATTTATTTCAGCACACATTTAAAACAAGATCTGATTAACGTGAATCTTATCATTAGTCTTCTCCACTAGATGTCACCCTTATTTACCTTGCGCGATGTTACAACAGAAAGCCTGTCATTCATTCAGCGCTTATCATGGCCATACGCGTGATTCACAATGCTCAGGTGAAATGCTACATTAATGCTATAAATCTGCGGAAGCATTTGATACCACGCATAAGGCGCCATGATTTCCGCAGTGAATGAATGGCGGATGGCGCGGCGCACTGTTTTGTTTACTACACACATACTAAAGCGCGGATGACGCTTGCAGTGTTTTCAGCTTCTGCCGTCTCACTATATGATGATATGAACACGAATGTCATCATATCCAGCTGCTCTGAGGGTGTTACGAATCCGGTCCATAAACTTCCGTCTGCTCACCACCAGAGGTCACCCTTCCACTACTATGGACTCTTGCACCACACCACTGTTGCACTTCACCCGGACTACAGTTCCCATCATCCATTGCACTGATTACACACACAGTTGATTGCACACAGCACTGATTGCACACAGCTGTCATCAATCACACCTTCCCTATATAACAGTCACTCTTATCCCCGTCAACTGGCATCCAGCGTGGAGGACCCACCATTGGTGGCTGCACGTGCAGCCGGTATTCCCAAACCCACTCACTCTTGCCCTCCTGTTCCTGAACCTATTGCCCCGTCTGTAGCGCTTCCCATAATGGGGATCGCTTTATGGAGTGTATGGGCTGCATACACCACCACTGAGACTCTTGAAATAGCGGCGCCTACTATGATGTTTCCAGAGGTGGCGGCTGATGCTGCAGAACCTCCCGAGGCGGCGGCGCTCGCTTCAACTCCTTGTACGGTGGTGGCGCCCAGCAAGGCAGCAAGGCCTGTCATGTCGTAGTCGAAGGAACCGATAATGAACTCTCCCTATTTCCTGATGGTACTACTGTAGAACCTCCAGAGGTGGCGGCATCCGCTGCAGAACCTCCAGAGGTGTCAGTGGTATCCACTTATGAACTCTCTGCCCGTCCCGTCACGGCTATGGACGCCGTCTGTGAATTCTCGTCCTGCCCTGTCACGGCTATGGAGGCCGTCTGTGAACTCTCTGCCCATCCTGTCACGGCTATGGAGGCCTTTTGTAAACTCTCTGCCTGTCCTGTCATGGCTAAGGAGGCCGTCTGTGAATCCTCGTCCTACCCTGTCACGGCTATGGAAGCCGTTTGTGAACTCTGCCTGTCCTGTCACGGCTATCCGGCCAAGGGTGAACTCTCTGCCCGTCCTGTCATGGCTATGGAGGCCGTCTGTGAACTCTTTGCCTGTTTTGCCTGTTCTATAGAGGCCGTTTGCGAACTCCCTGCTTGTTCTGTCACGGCTATAAAGGCCGTCTAGAAACTCCCTGCTCGTCCTGTCACGGCTATGGAGGCCGTCGGGGAATCCTCATCCTGTCCTGTCACGGTTATGGAG